ACATATCGAAAGTAGGTTACTGAAAGAGGTGGTTAACTGCATGGGTGACGATTTTGAAGGGCGCACTATATACATGCTGAATTATGACGTTGCTAGGGCGAGGAACATTTGGCCTGCGGATACATTTGCTTATCAGGAAAGGTCTTTCAGCGGAATCCTTGATATCTTTCAGGACTAAAATCGATGAAACATGAAGTGTAATTCCTCCAGAAAAATTCGATATGAATTACCAATGATACAGTGTATGCCACCAAAAACCGAACACTTTCGTAACTGGAAATAATGTGGAATGGATTTTAGCCAGGGATGCGGATGTTGATATTGGTTTCTTCTCCGAGCTGGAATTGCTGCTCCCAGATGTTTGATAGCCAGGTTATGCAACATCATCAGTGCAACTCCCCGCTCGGAGACCAAGCTAACACAAACAATTTCGTAACTGTATTCTCCTCAGGAAAGAGGTTAGAAGATATCCATTTATTTTACCTCTTCCCTTGACTGCTCTTATGTTCCGTTAAAAAAATCTCTTGCTACACAATTTCGGGAGTTGAACAAATTTGCCAATAAAGTAACGAAATAGAAACGCAAATAACAGAGGCCAGTTTGTGAGTATAATGAGTGAATTAAACTAACTACAATATAAATGAGTAATTGCGGTGATGATATGTAAGGAAGGGGGAGGGGTTGAGAGTTCACAAAATAATTGTTGCCACCTGGGAAGTTATTCTGGAGTCAGTTTTCCACTCCACGGCTGCCCAAGTATCGGTTTGGTCAAGAGAGATTTAGGGCCTACGTGAATTGTTTTTATCGGGGTTATTCGTCCTGTTGGGAGCAAATGTAGCTTGAACTAAAAAGGTATGAAGCACTGTATAATTGATTTGACCTTGATGGATCTCATGGGCAATACAAATCCATCAACCCGACGGAGGATGGAATCCAGTGCCCCGCAAGTAGGACCTAATCACATTACACACTCCACCACCGAGCAGCTGTTCAGACCGTTTTTTATTTGAAATTTACACGATATTGCACAACCCATATTTGTCGGGTTGTTTTGAACATCGTATCTCGCCCAGCTCAGCACAAGCCTCCGGGGTTATAACCAGGTTTAAAACTTACTCAATCTAACTGAATTTTGCATGAGAGGAAATGGAAAATGAAAAAACGGTCTGATCAGCGGCCCGGTATTTGACATTTACCAACTTCAGACATCTGCGGCACCGTCGCGATATCCGGCTATCCGTGAAGAGGAGTGAGGGGGGGGGGGAAACGGGAGAGAGAGGATAGAAGGTGTCACATAGAGTGATATGGGTAAATGTTATTATGGCCATGGTAACGTCAGGGCCTGAACCAGATTACGTTGCTTGCACAACTCCGGCTTGCATCGTAATCTGGTTCAGGCCCGCATATCACTATGACCATAATAACATTTACCCATATCTCAATGTGACACCTCTCCTCTCCATCCTGTTTTCCCCGCACACCCCATTCACTATCTTTTTCGCAAACGTTCACAACTGTTTTATTCACTCGGACTAACATATTTCATATCCTCTCCAGTTCACACATTTTTCATTCCACTTTTCCCTATCTAATTATCGTGATCCCACAGCTTGTTTTCAACAGACAACTTTCCACACGTACATTCAATCAACATCAGCCTAGGCCTTGTATTAATCTACTGACTATCCGTGAAGAGCTGGGTATATGCTGCGGCAGTTCGGCCAGTTCTACTATACCGCGTAGACACTTGACCATTAGGAAAAAAGGACAAAGATAGATTGTCGATATCTGCGCAGCATTGCACAAATCTGGTGGGGAAACCGTGCAAGCAGTGATGAGATTAGGCCCAGAGTTTCAGGTGTTTGCGGTCATCCACTAGAGCAAATAGTCGACCTCTATAGATTACGTTGTTTGGAGCATTTCACACATGAAATCGGATAGGTTGCCACGCTGAACGATGGTTGCCGAGGCAGGTAGTGGGTGGAATAAAGTTAAGGCTGGTCAAGCCAGGGCCTGGCATGAGGAGTGATAAAACCTTAACCAGGAGACCCGGTCACATAGGTCGCGTTGGGCTTCCTGGCTGGGAACCACGAGACAATCGTAACCGGGGGTTAGAGACACTGAATGACATAACTGAGCGTCGTAAACAATGGCGTTTGAGCATCTCAATTTCCCTGGAAAGTTTGTTCACTGAAATTCTCCATGTTCGCTCTTCACTTTCAACTTTCCTGTCTTTCTCCTGCTGTTTCATCCAAATTGGCCGCTAAAAGAAGAAGTGCATGGTTAAAGATTGTGCAAACTGAACTGAAATAAACTGAACACGGAGGAAACAATCACTGATTAACTCTGAAATGAATGGAATTTTTTTCTGTACCGTGGAGATATGGGGAAAAGAAGAAATTCTGTTCTGTAAATGCACGATGCACTTTGCAAAAGAATTTCATTTGGAAAAAGTATATTCTCATCTAGTTGTTGTTTAATCGAACATTCGGCTATACCATGTACACAAAATGCCATCATGCAACAAAAATAGAGCGTCCCCTGAAGCGATGCTCTAAACTAGCCTTACATTCATTGATACATTTAAGAACAACTACAGATTCTTCAATCTCTTTTTGAGTATATTTTCCACTTGTTCCTGATCAAACGTGTGCAACACCTGATTTTCATCACTTTTATTCGCCCCAACGCCTGGTGTTTCGAGTTTCATTCACGGGGGATTGAATGTGATATTGCCCCACGTCAAACGCGACATGTCTGTACTTCTATACATTACCGCAAAACTAGGCTTCTGTACGAGAGCACCGCTGAGCACCATCACGCCTGTCCGAGAAGCAAGGCAGTTTTGCAACTTGTTGACAACAATCACACCGGATCGCGCCCCGTGAACAGAATAAAAATAGGACCGTCTAAACACATGAGTTGCTACATTCTAGCCATTGTGGAAGCTGTCAGCGTTCATCTCAACAAAACCCTTACTGTGTGCTGAAAAACAAAATGTTTAAGCATTTCAGCTCCCTTTATTCTTGAAAACATCCATATTCGAAACGATAAGCAATTAAAACCGAAGTAGGTGACAATCAACCCATTCTCTCTTCCCTCACAACCTCCATCTACAATCAGTCGTATATATTGTGCTCTATCGGCACTACCATGAAACGCCAGAAAACGAAATTGGTTGCCATGTTTTGTTCCTGAGTTTGTTCTGTGGGACTGTTTACACTTACGAGTATTATAGTGATTTTTGTCGCGCACAAGACAAACCGAGCGTGAACGGAAAAGTTAGGAAACATTGCACAATTGATGAAACTAAATCTTTGGTTGAAACAGCTGTCTGGCGCTTCCTAGCTTTCAAGTCAAGCTTCTTTTATTCTTTCCATGAGTACGTTCACCATATAATCGAAAAAAATGTTCCCCTCTCCATATATTTGGTAACTGTTATTTATTACAATCACATTTGTCGCAGATTCGTGTTTCGTGAAATTGCTACCGTGCTCCTCACATTTCACGACGCCTTATTATAGGATTTAAAATATTGTTTTTAGCCTAGCCCATTCGATTCTGTTAGCAACCTGGTACCGCTCGTGGTTGCCTCATGTTTCCTGGGTGTGGGTTTCACTCCCGAAAATAAAAGGAATCCTATGTGGCGTCGGATCAGTATGAAAATGAAGATAACCTGATTCACAAATATATTTCTGATTTGAAAAAGCGAGTCGGTGAGCGAAAAACTGTTTTCGGATATTCCAAGTCATGTTCTTACATGTCATATAGTGAAAAACATTGCTTCCATATTGTTACCCGTTGGCTTCAGTTAAGATCATTAATCGAAGGCTGAGAGTGAAGGATGTGTATGTCTTTGTGTATGCAAGAATGCTTAGTGCGTTAGAGGACGTAATCTTTCCCCACTTGAGTCCAGTGACAAGTCACGTACCGTGAAACACAAACCTAAAAGACTCCGGGGTCTAGCCTTCAGAGCCCGGGAGATTTTTTCAGCATACACACCGGATGAAGAACTACGGTTCATCCGCCAGACGCTGCAGGATAATAGTTCAGCGGAAATATTCATTGAAAAGAATAAGCGGCAAACTTCGGCGAGTGGAAACTCCATCTGTTTCCCCATGAAAGAACCATTCACAAGTATCCCATTTAAGGAGGACTAGCACACATAGAGTCTAGTCTAATCACTAAGAGTGGCTGTGAATTCCACTTTACCCGCAACCAAACTTAGAACAGTTTTTTCTACATTACCACTGATGTGAATGCAATTGAAAGACAAAGTGCCAAAGTGTCAAACCTCACACATGATAATTTACTCTTCAAAGTGCGTCTGGGAGGCATGTTACCTCGGTCGAATTATCATTTAGCGTTTGTCTCAACGCTTTAAGGAGCACCATCCGCGATGGTTAGATCTCGAGCACGATCGTGGGTCAACTCGTCGACACCGATAGGATCGAACAGGAGAAAGCTTTCGATGTTGTTTACGCATTCTACTCAATCGATCGAAAGCGGCCCAACTTTGGACACTAGTTACGGTCGAGGTGAATGCCATTCGCTTACAAGTCCCCAAACTGTGCCAAAAAGAGACTAGTTTAAGCGCTTCAATTGCCTTAGCCGGATGTGAAAACTAAAACAGAACATGATGTGTCACTTGACCCAAGTAGGGAAAGTTCATATCACGAACAACTTGCTTCTCATGATTTTCAACATGGCAGAAACAGTTTTCTAATGCTCTTTGTTAGTCGCCATACAATGCTTTTTTGCGATTACGTGGTTTCTGATCGACAAAAGAAAATCACTTAATGCTTTATTTCGTTCTTATTGCTTGCTTACCCACTTCGTGAATATACCGCAATATCTTCAGTTCTGTTCTAAATTGACTTCATTTATCAATTAAATTGCCCTGAAAAAGGATTAAACACTTGACGCAAGAAAACAAAAAGCTGTCACAACAACTTGATCAAGCATTAAAGGACATTAGTGACAAAGAAGCGGAGAGACAAATGTTACAACGTCATGCCAAAGCCGCGGAAGATGAAGCCGAAAGATTCCGACAGGCAGCAGATCAAGCTAAACAGAACAATGAAAAGTTGCACGCGGTAGGTTCAAACATATTTGGTTGACTCACTAAGACATATCTTTTAGCCGAACACATTTTTTATTGAATCCTGCGTCTGTCCGCATACGGGACTGTAATGAAATAGTTTTTAGACCAAATATTTGTCATTTTCTCCCCTGTTTTATCTTACGTTTGGATTTATTTTGATGTACAGGTGTTTGCCAAACTCGTGCAACATCATTCTCATTTTGAAAATCCCTTTCAGCATGCAATACCATCATATACATGGCTATGAGTGAAGTGTATTTATTCCTGACTTTATCTCCAACATCTATGTTCTTAGTTCACTTCTATCATCGTCTGAACTTGTGCAACCTTGAGTGTTGCTATAAAATTTGTGGTACTTCGAAAGTGACAGCTCTGATTTGGAAAATATTTGAGGCAAAGCAACAAGGGAGTTCATTCTTTTTAATAAATGATTCCTGTTCCATAAGAGTGTTTATTAAGTTGGGCACACGTATTCTAAATTTCTTATCTCTTTTCATTCAGTGCACAGTAAATAAGCAAATTAATGAAAATATTCTAGCTTAAATAATTTGATAAATTATTTTGCTACAAGCTACTCACGCATTGCTCACAATACTGAAAGAACTGAAAACATAGCCCAATGAACACAAGTTGATCTTCGAAAGTTGACCTTGAGGTGTGCTGCTCGTTGAATAAGCGTCCTTTAGTGTCACCTTGCTCAAAGCGGATGAAACTTTCAAAAGGTTTTGGCATATAACTGAAGCCGAGGGGCAACTTAATCGAGAGACTCATAAATCTGATGACTCAGTTGGTGTCTTGTGGTAGCGGTTCGATATGAACATAAGTCCAATTTATTCCATATTCAACGAAAGTTCTCCATCAAAACATAAACCGAGAGGGAAAAAACCGGCAATATCAAAGTAAGACGATGGTTGTATTTGATCGCAGCAGCGAAGAGTTGTATATAACCAATCTGGACGATAGTCCGGGATGATTACTGGTTTTTCTCAAGCTTTCCTTTGGAAAATGCTGGCTCAGGTTGAAATACAGCTTAGGCCCCGTGATATAGAGCCATTATGTACCGCCTAAGTATTGATTTTATCAACGAAATCAATTCGTTCACCTACCGCGCAGCACCTGGGATTTTAATTTAGTCGAAAGCTTGTCCCTGTATTAGAAACAGGGATAAGTAAGCTACCTCGACATTGATCGTCAGTGGTAAGGATGCGCGGTGTATCAGAGGAAACTTGTAAATGCTATTTGGCAGTCAATTTGACGGACTCCATGCTAAAGCACTGCCTCTAGTGCTCAAAAATGAAAAAGCGCAAATGAAACATGGACGAGATGATAGTACAACAACTGTATATACTCTGAGTTATTTTAATAAATAAATTACAGTTACATTTTCTACTGATTCATCAGCAAACGTCGTCAAAATTGCAAAGGTGTACATTTTAATGGCATGTGGCTAATAGAAGCAATGACATAAGTGGGTATTATATCAGATATGTTGCGTTTGATGTGGGGAACTATCAAATTCAATCCCGTGAATGAAGCTGGAAAAACGAAGCATTCAGAGGAATAAATGTGATGAAAATCAGGATGTTGCACGGGTTTGGTCAATACACAACGACCGTAGACGAAACTGATGAGTATTTCCTCTGAATTGTTATGATTCAGATTCTCATTACTGAGGCAGCTCCTAAGGATCAAGGGTGCAGCATTTTAGTTAGAAAAACTTTTAAATTGAGAAATATAGATGGACAATTTATAGCTAGCATCAATTTCCAAATTGTCGTCCCAAATGACTGCTACAGCCACTGACTTGGGTCAATTTTAGAGGTCAATCTGATAAGAAGAATTACAGGGTCATGAATCGCGAAAAGTCTCGTAACAACTGGACACATCGTTGACCCACTTTGTCGTTCAAACCGTTGTTGCGTAACACGAATTCCATTCTCTTAGCTTTAGTGAGGTGATGGTAATCAACTCAAGTAATCTGATTTTGTGCGCACAAACAATCGAATAGTCGTGAAACTAACTCCGCCCAGCCCCGTCGCCGTCCGCCGTTAAACCGTTGTAGTTATCGCGACTTTCATATATTAACACTAGATTATTTTACGTTGTGGTGGCTGAGGAGACTAAATGAGATACTAGTGTCTCGCATTATTCTCTGTTCTAATCAATCAGATAAAGCGGACCCAATGTTTTAAATGTTTTTCTTTCAAAGCGTGATTTTACTTGGGACCACCAAGACGTTCAAGTTCGCCGATAGACCACAACAGGGTGCAGACCACACACAGGCTTGATGAAACTAAATCAAGACATCTCTCACTCGCTGATAGGTTTATGCAATCAATTTCGTGAAAGCACGTTGCTGCTGTTATTCATCGTACAACAATTTCAAGTGAAATATAAAAGTATGTAATCTCGAGATAAAGGAAAATTGAAAGGATTAAAGTATGTCAGTACTGGTAAAGTTCAGTAACACATTTTGCAATCACGAAACTTGTTTGGAGCTAAAAAAACTAATGCTTCTAAAGTAAAAATCTACAAATAAAACGGAACAGCTGATAAGCCTGATGATTTTAACCGGAAGTAATAAATAGTTAATGCGGTAGCTTTTGTGGTTACGTGGTACCCAGACATTCACGCGTTGTCCTTTTGGTGGACATTCTGGTGGTATTTTATATTGGTTTCTTAGGTATGATTACTTTTGCTAAACATTTTGCTTGTGTCTCTCAATTGAGCTGCGGGTTCTTCATAAAATCTCAACTTAAAAATTGTGTGAATAGCCACCTCTCCGTGACGTCTAGTTATTCATCATAGTAAATGTTTTTCCTGCCTGTGTAGCTGGACCTTGATCCTTGTTTTTGCGAACGTTTCATTCAGAACACTTAATCTCTGATTGTATTTCTGTTTTCAATTGATCGGCTCTATGAACACGTGTTTGTAGAATCTGGATGAGGAAACTGCCAGCCGGATGGCTTGTCAGTCAGAAATGCAAACCTTACGGGAGGAAATGGAATTCTTAAAAACAGTGCATGAACAGGAGTTGGAAGAATTGCGCAATATTACAGTAGTCGATCATCAACAAGACCGTGACCAGTGGCGAGACGAGATGCAAAGAGCCATTCGGGACATCCAGATGGAATACGATCAACGGCTGGACAAAATTCGTAATGAAATGGACGCTAACTATGCGAGTCGAGTAAGAATTACTTTCAGATCAGTTTTTAGTGTCTCCTGTTTTGATCAAAACAGTTCTTGACTATATCGGAAACAACTGTACACTTGATAGGCAACCAAGTAGTAGGTGGCATGAAACAGTAATGGCAAGGAGCATCAAGCTATCTGAGAAAATTTCGCTCCAGTTAAATATATATACACATCAATGCATATGTATATATCTACCAAATGTAGCAGATTCAGTGGACCGGTTCCTTCGATATTCCCCTTTTCAGACTATTCAAAATCAACTTACACGTTTAGGCTCGGTAACTAAGAGACAAGTGATTGTGTTCTCTTAATGATGTGATCAGAAGTCGTGATGGCAGTCCCCCTGATTTCGTACAGCTGATTGTACTTTCTGCCTAACGTATACTGTATCATTTGAGGTGTGATACAACAGCGATAACTTCGTTTATTGGTTGCATCGTTGAACACAAACTTGACTGTAAGCGAAACATGGAATCCACCACTTACCACATATGCTGTTTGCTTTACTCGTTTTTCCCCCAGAACTGACCCTAATTCATGGAATGAAGTCTATCAATACTTTAGTTGTTGCAATCGATATGCGATTATGTGCGTTTGAGTTGTCAAAAGATTCAACCATTGATCTAGTGTAAAAGAACTTGAGATAAAATAGTTGCCAAACCTTTCATAAAACCATACTTTACAATGATCCCCGGTATTATATAACCATTTTACACTTCTGATGTGTTCATACCGGTCCAGATTGATTGACATTCTTATCCGCATTTCAGATCGCCGAGGCGTCACGAAACAATGCAGCTCAGTCATCGCATTTTAACCAGTTGTGTGAAGAAAATAACATGCTCAAAGAGACTATTGAGGGTATGCGCAAACGGATGGAACAATATCGAGTCAAGGTAGGCTTCTGTTTGCATACCAGTTTTCGGACAACCACTCATCCCCAACTGTTTAAAGAACGTGCAGCATATGCTGATATCGGACAAGTGGAGTGCAGCTCTATTCGACGATACTAGATGATTAATTAATTAGTTAATTATCCGAATAAAAAGCTAGACTGAATGATTCCGTGGCTGCGGTAAGATACATTTCTGATTGGTTTCCCATTAAGAATAATGACCATTGTATTAGACTGATATATGATCGCTAATGAGCAACTGAACACTAAGGTTTTCTTTATGAATTTTCATCATGCCCGCATTACTGTATACGTGTATGTATCTAGTGCTTTACAAGTGCTACTTAAAATGATGTTGTTACATTCCTGGATCGCCCAGATCGAGAGGAAGAACAAAGACCGTTTGACCGTCAGATCCGTGTATGTTCGAATGAATGCGTCAAGCGCTAATTCACATGACAAGAGGGGCAATCATAACATCATAAAAGGTCCAGGTCAATGACGCTGTCTGTTCACCTGCTGACCATTGGCACCCCTAACGGATGTTTCCTTTAAATCAAACGTGACACACACCCGCGGTTGCCAATCCATTGCGATTGATCTGCAGTTAAACGGAGCTGCATACACCTCTCATCGGCTGCTTTCTCTCCCCCCCCTCTTCCTCTCTGTCTCCCCTCTACTCGAAGTCTGAACATTACGAACGAGCCGTGGCCGATGCCCAGGATGAAATTCAAACCCTGCGTAAAAAGCTAGACACCGCATTGAGGGATTCGAACCGAGAAAGGCAAGCGGCTGAGGAAGCGCTTAATCGGGCCCTGAATGAATTGTCTGCATTGACCGATGCAAAACTCAATTTGGAATCAGAAATCGCGGCCTATCGTCGATTGCTTGAAGCACAAGATTCCCTGATAAGTGGTGTGAAGCCCACGAACACGATAACCGTGGACACTTCTCCGGCCAATTATCGGCCAAAAGAACTCCGCGTTCGAGTTCCCTCGTACACAATGACACAAACAACATCCGCTCAAAGCCGTTCACTTAAGACAGATAAGTAAGTATTGTCAGCACACCGAACACCGCACAACACACGCTTTGAGACCTCACAGATCTTGCTTAAATCAATGTGTTGTTTGATCACCTCTCATATACAGTTTGATGTTAATGGCTTGCACTGGTGTTATATATATTCCGGATATCAAGTCAACAGACGATTGGACGGTTGCAACAGTTTACTAAGGCCGTAGCCATTTGGTGTCGAAATCCGGAACTTTGCGAACAACTAACCTTTGCTTTCTTTAGAGTATCCGGCTTGAATTAGTCCATTCGATTGTTCAGGGGTAACATGTACTATTGATGGTCTTGGGTGTGGGTTTCACTCCTTGGTAGATCGTTGATTTCTCGCTAGTTGAATGCATTCAGATGCGATGGAAATGTCTGTGATGACCGACAAATAGCATTTGAATGCATTTAACTAGTGGAGAATCAGCGACCTCACAAGGAGTGAAACCTACACTCAAGATCATCAAGTGCCTGGTGCCTCTGAACAATCCAATGGGCCAATTCAAGCTCGATACTCTTAAAATCGATTGAGCCATCCGTACAAGGTGATGACCGCCGACTGTGTAGCTCAGGGATAAAGATTTGAAGTGCCAACCCGAAGGATCGCGGTTCGAATCCTGACAGGGACACAAAAAGTACGCACTGCTAACGAGTCCCAAACAGGATGAAACACCTGTCCAGTGCTCGTTGTGGGTCACCACAAACATTTCCATTGTAACTAAACTCTGTGGCTAGTCTGGCCCTGCTTTGATAGGACTGCCACGGTGCTACCGATCAATATGCGTATTCGCCCACCCCTGCCCTCTGTCCAACCCAAATGAAACTGGTGACCTTTGACCTTTACGTTGATTTTGTCTGATCAAGTGATTTTGGTGTTTGAATATTTTATTAAAACCGAAAGAAGACTTGTGTCGCGAGGTGATAACATTTCGTTTAATCTTCTCAATGGCAGACGTAAAACAAACAAGCACTATCATAGTACATTGCATTTGTAACTCATAGTGAACGGACATGTCCAGATAAACAAGGGCTTCTTGTTTTTAGTTCTGATGGCCCATGTCTATCTTTACATGTTCGTTCACTTGGATTTACAAATCCAGTGTTCTATAAATTTGCTTATTTCTTTGATGTCAGCAATTGAGAACATTAAACGTATTGTTACCTTCCCGGGACATATATCCTTTTTCGGTCTTCATACGATGGATAAAGGGGACCCAGGTTTTCAAAGTTTAAAGATTTGTCCTTCCTCTGACCGAGATTCACATGAATTTTTGTACGCAGCTGATGAGATAACGCGAAACGTGTAATTATCCCGTTTTGTCAAAATTAATGAAACCAATTGTTGTGGATTTTCTAATGCAGCATTAGGATAAATATGAGATTCTGTCACCGGCTCATAACGAGTATCGGCCATGTACC